GGTCTACTATTGGTTGGGCTACTTGAGTGTCAATATCGAACTCATTTTGGCTGACACTGTCTAGTTATGAACCGTTTGCCAATTGGTGTGTTTATCCCTCAGGTGCATTCTTCGGCCAAACGAACAATATGAACCATAGAAAGGAGGATAGGTTGAATACTTATACACCCTAAGCAATATTTGATAGAAGGTCTAAGATTGTGATCAAGTAACGCGCTGGCGTGTATCGGTGGGAATATTTAAGTGTATACACACAACTTTGCTTTTTTTCGTGTCCATTCTTGGAGCCCTTCGCAGCTTTGCGAATGTCCTTATTACCTGAGGGGCTGAGTTTATGCCGAAAACTATCAGCAGAGAAGAGGTCAACCAATTTGTAACTTAGAAGAATGCGAGAGTTATTTAGTCGGACTTCTCAGCATTTCTTTAGTCGGAAATGTAAACATTAGATTGCTTCTGGTGCAAGAACTGAATTGCTGAGAAATGTCTGTGGCATGACAGGATAGTTCTGTCTTATAAAACGAAGGCACCTGCAAGTTATAATAAGGCGTAACAGGCCTGGTTAGCACTGTATAAATGCCATACCAGACCTTACAAAGGTGTCAAAACATTGTATCATATTATGCAGTTTCAAATACTTCATCTCAAAAAATTTGATGTTTATTGTTCTAGTGTTACAGCTTATGGTTCACCCTAATATGTTCATTAATTGTATCATTTGTAGTCGTTTACAAAAAAATTATCAGGTTTTCAAATAGCTCCATCGTTCAATTATTTTTTGCTGCAATAATAGCAAAGATAAAAACATAAAAATTGTTTTTTTTTCTTATTCAAAAGTGCGCTGAAAGCGCTATTCATGTATGTGTTTATAGTATACAACATACTCAATATAATGATTTTTATAGGACTTTGACAATGACATCTTCTGCACTCGAAAAACGCCGTTTGCGAAAAATTTAGCCTTCCGGTTTTTTTAAAGAATAGTAAATGAAATTGCTCGATTTTGGTATTGTTCAACTGCGCATTTTCTTGCAAACATTATGGTATACAGTTTGACAACACTTATTTCAGAATAGGGTTGCCGTGGGAGCATATTCGCTTGGACTCATGCACTACAAATGCACGTAGCGGAAAATGCTAGAAAAGCTGCACACAAGAATATTGGATCTTGAAGCAAGTTCCACTGCAAGCAAAGCAAAGCGAGATTGCTTATTAAAATGTCGAAAAGAGAATGCGCATTTGAACGATACCGAGGCTATGATATTTTAATGGAAAAATAGTACTTAAAAGTAAAAGCTTTGCGAACTTTAAAATTTTGCTGCATAATAATGCTAGATCGTATTGCAAAGCCGAGCCAAAACGTTATAAAAGAGCTAAAGTGAGAGGTTTCAAGAGGTTTTACCTTGCCCGCCCTAATTTCCCGACATTGCATCGCCAGATTATTACTTGAAATTACCATTTCAAATTACAAATCAGTAAGTTCGAAAAACGGCGTTTTTTGGATACAAAAGTCGTCATCTTCGAATTCCCATAAAAACCATCATATAAAATATATACAAAAAGCATGAGTAAATGGCATTTTTGACAGACTAGAAACAAAAATTTGCATATCTTTATTCTTGCAAGAATCACAGCATAAAGAAGGCAGAGCCATATTTGTACACATAATAAAAATCTTGGGGCAAGAATCAAATGGGCGAAAAACTCTGGAGGTGTTTTAGATAATTGCAAAAGACCACGTATGACTATGAGAGGTCTGAACATATTGGATGATATGGTGCCCTTTCCCAGATTCTTTTTCCAGTATGATTAGGGCTCATTCACCACAGTGCATCACGGTACATCTGCAACCTCTCTCACATAAGTGTTCTGGCGGTAGTTTCTATATAATACCAGAGTTGCTATAGATAATCAAATTGCTGTTGCCTTAGATCAAAATAATCAGCGAACAATTAGAATATACAGTGCGTCTAGCCTCTGAAGAAGGTCAATGCGCCTGAACTTAGTCATTGAAACGCAAAAGGGTATCAACATCACGCGAAATTTACTTGAAAAAGGCCGATCTATAAGACATTTTTGTTGATCATGCCAAGTTTTAGAAAAAGCAGGCCTTTGAACTGCTACGAAACACTCTAGCATTAGCAAATATAGTTCAGTCTATACTTTTACACGGAGTGGTTAACATAGTGCTGCAGTAGCGCGGTTTACCGAACAGTTAGATAGTGTTAAGATATTGATAAATTCATACCATTCCCTCAATTTGAGTGCCACCACCTGAGGAATACAGAGTTGTGTCCTTAGACATATGTGCCGCGAATCCAGTTCTTTGTGCAGCTCCTCTCGTTCAACCAGAAAAAAAAAACGAAATAGATAACAATGACGGCAATGACTTTCAAAATGTTTAAATTTCTTTTGTTTACTTTGCTTTTTCCACAATTTTTTAAAATTTATTCTAATTCACAGACTTTCGAACTACATTCATTTGACGAAAATAATAGCGAATAAGTTCAACACCTAGTAAAATAACTTTATTAATTAACTTGATTTTTGATAGTATCTTCGTACTCAACTGTTTTTTCAGACCTAACTCAAAACAATATAATGTAACAATTTTTATTATTTTCTGAGCCTTTCACGAGTTCTTTTATAAGCGCCTATACAATACAATACACGTGTTTTGGCCCTGTAGCCTCGTCAGTGCACAGTGCCTTTGGTCTGCGCAAAAAGGGAGACCTTCACGACATAGGCAATTATCGCCCAATCTGCTTGCTGTCCGTTGTCTATAAACTCTTCACTCGAGTCATCCTAAACAGGATTGACAGAACACCGGATGAAGAACAGCCTTGCGAACAAGCAGAGTTTTGAAAAGGATTTGTTAGCATACCACATCCACTCAATTACAAAACTCATGGAAGTTTCACGAGAGTACAAGCAACCACACTGTCTCACTTTCATCGATCTGAAAAAAGCCTTCGATTGAGTTCAAACAGAAGCGGTTATAGAGGCTCTGGATAACCAGGGCGTCCCTACTCAGTACATAATGATTCTTCGTGAGCTCTATAACGATTTCGCGACCAAAATATCTCTATTCCACAACAATATCACCATTGACGTAAGAAGAGGGGTTCGACAAGGTGGTACAATTTCGCCAAAACTATTCAATGCCACCCTATAAAACGTCATGCGAAAATCAGAATGGGGCGAAAAGGGAGTGAAAATTGACGGTCGACAGTTAAATCATTTTCGCTTTGCTGACGATATCGTTCTCATAACACCAAACATCAGTCAAGAGGATCGAATGTTGACCGATTTCGTAAACGCCTGTGGAAAGATTGGTCTTCAACTAAATAAAAAAAAACAGTGCTCATGAGGAACGCACTGGTTTCGAATGCCTCATTCACGCTCAACGGAACGGCTATCTCCGATTGCTCCAGTTACTTCTATCTAGGTCGTGAAATCAACATGATGAACGACCTAGCTCCAGAGTTAAGCAGGAGGAAACGAGCGGCTTGGGAAACGTTTAAGAGCATCGAAGCTGTATTGAAGAGGACAAAGAACATCCGACTCCATGCCCACCTTTTCGACTCGACAGTTATCCCTGCCCTAACGTATGCAGCAGAAACCTGGTCGCTACGTAAGCAGGATGAAAGATCACTCGGAGTTATCTAACGCGTAGTCGAAAGGTCGACGCTAGAAGTATCCTGTATCTCGCAAATAAGAAAAAGTTCCGAATTTGCGACCTGAGTCATTGATCGAAAATCAGAGAAACCGTTTTACAGACCAGGATGTCGAAAATAAGGTGGGCCGGACACGTGATGCGCTTCAACGACAACCGATGGACAAGAGCCGTTACCGACTGGATTCCTTGGGACGTCAAACGCTCTAAAGGAAGACCACTGGCCCGTTGGTCCGATTTCTTCACGAAAGCGATAGAAGAAAGATATAATGCTTAGCGAATTCCTAGAGCGAGGAGGACCCACTGGGCTACTCTTGCACGCGATAGGGAAAAATGGAAGAGTTGCTGGTACCCGCTTGAGTCACTGGACGATCAACGGGTCTACAGGTGATACAGGTGATACCATAGAGTTCTTGTTAGACACCAGCTGTTGAAAACCAATTGCATCTAAGAACTGTGACAATTACACAGCTTGTGAAAAGAATTGATTAGTTGGAACGTTGGTCGAAAGCACATACAGTCCACTTGGCTGATCAGCGTATGCATTGATGTCATTGAAGTCAATGTATGCGACTACGTAAATTTTGAAAATAGAAATGGATGGTTCAAAATGAAATCCGTTTTCTGAAGTGGAGTGTACAGATCATGAAGACTTAGATTTCCATTCAAAATTAGGTTCGGCAGTGTAATCTGTAAAGCACAAGCGCAGCTATCCCGATTATGTAGAAACCCCCAATTTTTTTCTTAGCATCAGATTAAAATTTACAACGGTCAGTACATTCATTATGGCTTTCACCTTTCTGCTAATATGATCGAAGTGAACAAGAATATAAAGGACTTGCTTTGACACTGTGAACAAAAGTTGATTTAATGCGTTTGTGAACACAAACAACCAAGGGCTTTCTAGTCCATCACAACAGCAAGCCACCAGAACAAAGGTAAATCCTCGATAGAATAATTTGTTGAAAATTTTCCCTTTTTAGAGGTTTTATCATATTCATTTGAGTTCAAGTTCTTTTTGTTTTATTTTTCTTATTGGAAGAATAAGTCCTTTTATCATTTCAGGTTCTGGCAAGTGGGCACATTTATGGCAAAAATTTTGAATTGAAAGATTTCCAGTGCGTACCGACTCTATACCAATTACTCGAATGTGATGACCTTTCACAAAAAAAGATCCATGTTTCGGTGCAACGGTCAGTGATGTCGTATCATAACATTACACTTGTAAGCAGTTGATGTCAATAATTACAAATAGTCATAATTCTTTCTATTTTGACTGCCACTTGCAGTGGTATGATCTTATTGGTATACCCAATAGGTGGAGTACTGTGCAAAAACGTTTGCCGGGATTCGAACCCAGATCTCACTATTTCCGGGAGCGTATGCTAACCGTTGCACTACCGACGCTCGTTTTGCACAGCACTCCCTACAGATATATTCCTGAGTTCTTCAATTTCGTAAAATAGACATCCTGCTTTCTTACGGTTAAAGTACGTACACGAGAGGTTTTTTGATATCTGAACTTATGTGAATTCATTGTGTGGACAAAAATGGAAGCGAAATGTTGACTACTAAGATTCTCTCGTATAACGCAGTTGCAGGCTACTCGGGGTGACCCCTATCCGCTAGTTCAATCGCTTCATTGTTCACTATATGGGCCCACATGGAATAGCGATAAAAAAGAACCTCATATTCAATAAATACCGAAGTACATCGAAATAGGGTTTATAGTATCTGCTATGTCTCATGGCCAAAAACCTGTAGATTCTAATTCTTTTTTTCACTACTACTGACATAATTCACTGTGAGTAGACAGATGTTTGATCAAAGTGAAAAGGCACAACAATTTTGAGAACATGTCAAGCGACGTCATTGGCCATGTTGCTATATAATACCTTTCGAATCGAGTGTTTTCTTAAGACGACACTCAAATATCATTATGTCAGATAATCACTTTTTGAGCCACGCATGTGGTCCGTTGCATAGAGCTGACTTATAGAACCCGATAAACGTGTTTCGACCTTGGCGATCTCATCAATCACATGGGTGGCTCAAATAGTGTTTATCTGACATACTGAAATTTGAGGGCGGTCTTGAAAAAACCCTCTAAACTAAAGGTATGATATATTAACGATAGCAGCTAAGGACAATCGAATGTACAACACTGTCTTTTCAGTGATAATCTCACTGGGCAGACAGTGTACAATGTTCGCCGTCGCCCACTCTTAGTATACTGGACTGAGAGAGGATTGGCAAAAGATGAAAACGGTACCTCCCGACTGAGGACATTGTCAAAGTCGAAACACGTGTACCGTTCTCTATAGGTCAGCCCTATACGACAGACCACATGCATGGCTCATCTGCATTAATTATTTAGTACATAAATAACATCATTTCATTCGCAACACACTCTGGAAGTGCTGAAAAAAAGTTTTGTTTTCTACAAGTTATAGCCAGCAGCTCTTCACTGAGTATGCCATAAAGTTCTTGTCAGATATCAAATGTTGAATGCCGATTGAGTTAAAGAATTTGTTCATTATTTCAAGTTGTGGTAAGGATATGGCTTGTTTTGAGCTCATAGGTCTAGTGCTATATAGACGCCTATTTTGTCCTATCTGGACTCATCGGTAGCACCCTCCGTCCGATCCGTCGACCCTTTGAGGCTCAATAATCCCCTAAAGGAATTGACGATACCGAGGAGAAATAATCTCACCAAGTCGGATGATGGCATTATCTGACGCTGTTGTGACCAGCAGTCGAGCATGCTGCTTTTATAATGAATCATACCCCTGCCATCGACCGCTCTATTACAGACTTGAGGTGATTTTTTTTGCTCGGCTTCGATTCCTTTGAAAGATTATTCAACCTTAAGGGGTCGACGGTACCGAGCGAAGGTGCTACTGATGAGCCCCAATAAGAAGAAATAAGCGCGTACATAGCAGTAGACCTATCGTCTCAAAACAAGTCATATCCTTATCGGATTAAATCGTTTTGAGCGGGTCTGTAAAAGAGCGATCTGTAGCAGAGGTATTTCAGTTTCGTTTTTTAGCCACATCTCAATTATATTCATTATTAGTGCGCTATTATGAATACAGGTTAACTCCATTCGTAGCTACAGATAAATAGATTATCATTTAATTAGTCATTTTACCATTTTGTTCTCCAAAAACCAAATATTGCGACGCAAATCTCTGAATTTCAGGAGCTTTAGTTCTATACGATAGTCAGAAACTGAAAAAGTACCTGAAACGAAAGAAGTTTCCATCTCTTAGCTAGTAGAACGTACTGCGGAAGTATTTCTAATAATCAAATTCAGAAAGTGTGTATCTTTTGAGCTATCAAATGACTACGAGAACATTGGTAAGAAAAAAAAACAAATGTCCTATGCCAGTTGGATGTTCTTCTAGGCAACAATGTGGTTTCGTAGTTAAAATATTCCAAAATAAGAGGTTCTTCAAAATAATTAAGATGTAACTACCAAAAATAACCTCTTATTAAGGTCTCCTCCATGATTTTCCATCATTCAATCACGTTAATGTCTCCATAAAATTTAAATTCAACTACTTAGAGAAGTTGGGGAATTGGAGTGGACACTGGAACGTGAACCGATGCCAATGCTCGTTCTGTTTAAAATCTTTTTTGAAACTCGAAATTGTCTATTTTTATTTCTCAAAAGGCGTCTTTGCAGAGTGCTTTTCAATCGTCGAGACTCTTATGCACAACGTGTGCGGAAAGACAACTCCTCGTACAATACCAATGAATAAGATTTCGATATTATGAATAACAACATAGAAAGATCAATGACGCTGTTGTGCATGATAAAACATGGAAAATTATGCACGAACATACCGAGATCCGATGAACAAATTCCTTTAGGAAATGAAGAGTCTCTCTTTACCACATGCGCATCTCTTCCCTCCAGAGAAAAGATAAGGTCTTATGCAAGTACGGAAAACAAACCTGTTGCATTGCTCTCAAACAAAAATCTGTTTTTGAGCTTCTCCATAGACGCAAACGTCACCTTCTGTATGAGGCAGTTGCCAATTGGTAATGTCACACAACATCTTCTTCAAAAAGAGTATTCCTTAGCCAGTGAGGTAGGCTATCTTGAAGAGCCATTCTATTAGTTGTACAAGCGGTATGTTGTATGAGACTTGCGACCGAATGGAGTTTTGGGAACACACTGACCAACATAATTTCCCACCAACTGTAATTGGTACTTCTCCGCTACGACATTTTGTGAAAAAGCGTACTTCTTGGTCTTTTTTAGTGTTCACATAATTGCTCGATAGCACAAGTCAAACGAATTTGAATGATATATTTTTTGTTTCAACTAAGTACCTTCTAATTATAGGCTCAGAATTAGGCAATGGGTCATAGGTAACAATTATAAGGTAAACTATTTTTGAGTTACATCTACTACCTCCATGTATCTACCTTCAGAAGACAAGCGACGATGGGTCGTACATATACCACGTCGAAAAGGTAGGTTACTCAATATCTTGGCATCCCAAAAATTTTGTCGAAAAAGAGACCACATAAGCTTTTCAGAAGTACTATGCACTACCTTCATGTATTTACTTTCAGAAAATGAGCGACGATGGATTAATATTGGGATTAATATATCGGGTATTTAAATGCGCAGCTCCGTATCGCCCGTGCTCTGCTTTCTTCGACTCATCAATTATCGTGAATCATTTCCGAAAACATGACATTCTAAGCAAGCTGTATTTATTTAGTTGACTTCGTATGACCGAAATATGCCATACTCTGTGAGCCATGCTGTCGAGAGAAAAAAGATTTTGGAAACTATTCCACGAACAGTCCCTAATGCTATATTGTTTAAACTTCCTAGATTGATTAGGTTTGCTTGAATCTTTGACTCAATATATAATTCACCTTCAAATGACCTCTCCTACAAACTATTCCATTGTAATCCCATAACCTTTCACTTGATCCGCTATCTTCTCTTTCACATAAACTTTAAGTACAAGCTGTTCCCACAACCTTGCTCCTCAATGTGATAGCATCTCCCTTCCATGCAAGATATTGTATTTCTTACATAACAAAGCGTGTAGTTGTAGCTTTTTATGCTCTGAACTTTCTTTCTCATCGGTTGTACGCCTGTAACATTTTGCATTAAGTCTCGTCTTCGTTCCCTGATATAAGCGTAAACGCCGACCCCATTCAGTGGTCGGTGAGTTCCGTATCCGCAGCGTTCCCATGTTCTAGTTATTCACCCACTTCGTTCATATCTATTCACTGAACTTCATATCGTTGGACGGCAATTGTGTTGTTATTATTGCTATAAACAGTTACAATCCATACTTGAGTTGTTTCCGTGCTTCTGTGAAATTAACCACATGGGAAATTAGTACAAGTCGAGCATTCTGCTTCGAGTTAGTAACTATTGTGTGCTGAAGATTAGCTCGAAACTCAGCACTCTCCATTGAACAGCCAACACAACGATGGTACTCTTCAAATATTTCACTCGTTTGTCAATCCAGCACTCGATGAATCAGCTGTTAGTATAAACCACCTTTTGGTATGAAACCATTATCTGCTTCCCTTTCAGATAGCTTTACTTCAATATGGAAAAATTAGTGCATAGAGGGCTGTAACTGAGTGGCTAACCATGCAAGCTATTAGTACACAGCGTGATGATTCGACCTCTTCCCCCAACACCCCATAAACTCACGTACGGACGACTTAGCTCCACTATCTTTAAAAATATTAGGAGGTTCAAAACGATCGAATTCTGTGACATTCAGTAGGGAGTCGTGCTTCCATAGCAGTGGCTCCAGCAGCACGACAAATGTATGAATACTACGAGATGACGACTATGGTGACACAAATCGGATGCTGGAAGTACCGGGATCCGCATAGGGGCAATGTGATGACGCACAGTGAAAAGAATTATTCTAGCTTAACTGTTAATAAACAGCTGCTGCTATAAAAAGCGACAAGATCTTACTCTTGCACCGAAATCAAACGAAGCGCAAGAATTGGTCATTAGCTAAAAAAACGTGTTACCGTAATTCCCATCTGTATCAAACATATCAGCACGGCAAAAAGGTGAGTTGATTAATAAAAAAAAAGCGAAACACTGAGCAACAAGGAACATCATATGTAAAGACAGTTTTCAGTTGTTTGGAACCCACTGTGGGTGTGGTGAACAATCGAACTACAAAGTGGTGCTGAATGTTCCAAAATTTTCCGATGCAGATTGTAAATAAGAAAAGCCCAATAGAGAGCGGCAGTTTCATGTAAATCTCAAATTTTTCACTTGTTCAGTAAAGTCTCAATTAGTTGACGATTCTGTTGTTGCATTTTGAGCTGCAATCACCGTGACGCTCTTTTCCTATGCTTTCTCTGTCATTTTGAGACAAAGCTGTTTCAAAAAATAACGACCACAAAC